CACGACAGCTTATTGTAGAATACTACCTACATTGGACCACAACGTTTGAGTTATCTTTTTCAGGTAGTTCAGACACAAACCATGGCAGCTTATTGTAGAATACTACCTACACTGGACCACCACGTTTGAGATATCTTTTTCAGGTAGTTCAGACACAAACCAGGACGTCTCGTTAACCATGAACTACTTACTTCTGCAGTTTTTCCCCGTATATCCTTTCTCACAGAGACAAAGATATCCTCCAGAGAGCTGTGAATAACGTGGATCATTTGTAGCATCAATACAACGACCATGCATACATGGCTTTGCCATACACGGTTGGGGAACTGAGGAAAATAAAATAAAAAATTTTATAGCGTATACTAACTTTATTTACAAATAAATGACTGTTGAAATTGTTTTTAGTCTTCAACATTTGAACGAGTCATGCTTGAGAAATGATAATAAATTTTTATTACCCAACCCTTGAGTTGTTTTGTTTTTCATTTACTCAACCTTTTACTCACTCAAAATATCGTTTACCCAACCCTTTTCTCTTCGGTGCCACACCCCGCCCTCTCATAAATAATAACCGCTCCCTAATCACACAACTGCCGAGCAGATGTACTGACAGCTGTTCAGAACACCCAGGGAAAACCTCAACAATTGTTCTATCAAGAAAAGCTAATGTACTAACAAAAAGAATTAAAAGAATAAACATACCTTCACATTTGCTTCCAGTAAAATTTTTCGGACATGAACAGTTGAATTGCCAAGACTCTCCTTTCTTAATCACTTTGCAAATCCCGCCATGCAGGCAGGGACTTGGTTTGCAAACATGATCTAGGGGGAAATGAAGCGAAAGAAACTCGATAAGGGACTGGTCATTATTTATGGCAGGGCGTGGCACCGAAGAGAAAAGGGTTGGGTAAACAAAATTTTGAGTAAGTAAAAGGTTGGGTAAATGAAAAACAAAACAACTCAAGGGTTGGGTAATAAAAAATTATTGTCATTTCCAACGCACGACTCACTGAAATATTGGAGACTACTAAAAAACAATGTCACCAGTCATATGTAAATACAATATGTGAATCAATCATTTTTCGATTTGTTAGGTGACAAATGGTGTCTCCAAAGAAAGTACATGTGCAGACAATATGAAACTTTAGACTGCATGCAGAAAATTGCACAAGCAGTTATTAAACTCATGTCACAGAAGTGGTAAAGGACATGTGTGACAACTGAATGGTATCCTTTTGTAACGTTTTTGGCCATGGGTGGGTATTCATTTTTTAATTGATACTTGAGGTTGGGTAATCAAATTTTCGACTTTTTAATGGTTGGGTCAGCAAAATTTTTGCCACGAAAAACATTTCTCTTCGGTGCCACCCCCCACCATAAATAATGACCGGTCCCTAAAACATTTCTCTGCGAGTATAAAGCTCTGGTCAAATTGATAAGAGTTCGCAAGTGAGAGTTTCTGTGAATGTTTTCTAAACTCTCATGCCTCGGTAAAGTTCCAGCATGACAGTTAATGAGAAATGCCTGACTGGATTTTACCGCGCGCGAAGCGAAAACTTACGTCATACACTCTGTCAAGATGATGTTCTGGAAACCCGGAAGACTTCAGAGTCACAAAAAAGGTTTTGTTTCATGTTGAACAGTACATTAACGTGTATAAATCCTTTGTTTCAACTTCATTAAATATTATTCATCGTGGTTGCACGTTTCATCTCAGCTATCCCTATTGGACGATTACTTAGTCATACGAAAATACAATGAGCTCAATCACCGGTGACCGTGCACAAATGAGTATAAACTCAGATAAAATATTTATTTAATAACACACTGACTTCTGTCCAGTTTCCAGACTATCATATCTCGATAGACTATACTTACATCAACTCGTCTGTCATCAAAATTTGAACCAGCTCAAAACTGATAAGGGGGGAATGAGAGTCGATGACAAACGCGAGCGAGATTTTCCCCACTCCTCAACTCTCGTCCTCGTTTGACCCACAGGTTTAAACAAGCAGGTCGACATAGCTTAAACCCGTGGTTAATAATTGTTTTCTTGTTACTCGATGTATTCTACAAATACATATCGTGTATACCTTGACAGAAGTCAGCCACATAACCCTCACGACATCGACAAACTGGTTTCTTCTCGTCGTTTGAACAAACTCCTCCATTCCTACAGGGGTTGATGAGGCAACGGTTTCGTTCTACACGAAATTAAAAGTTACAAAAATATGCTAAGAATGGTATCAAATGAGGGCGAAGCGGTCACGACCCAGTAATCGGCATGCTTTTGAAAATCCCACTGCTTCAATGCCATTCACTTACTGCAGTTTGCCACTCTTCATACAAAATACAAGGTCTATCAATTAAATCAAGAAACCACTCACTGCGACAAAAAGTTCCATTATATTCAGGCAAACATTTACAAAAGAACTTATTTTTCTCTAATTGGACACAAGTCCCTCCATTTCTGCAAGGGTTGATTTCGCATTTATTCATTTCTAAAGAGAAAAAGAGAAATTCGTCAGTTCCATTTCCTCCTACACATTTTTAAGAATTGACGTGTTGGTGGCAGCGTTGCTAATGCATGTTCCAGATTCGAGTTTCTCCTACAAGTCCGATTTCAGGAGAAAATCAGTTTTTTCTTGGGCAATCCTGTTTCCTTCAGTAGTAAAACTGGACTAATCAGTGATGCCCCTTACTGGACATCTAGGGAGAACAAATTAGAACTGATAGAACTATCCAGTATAGATAAAGTAAGTTTAGTTTAGGTTTCATCCTGTAGTAACACTGGATCAATAAGAGATGCTCCTTATACTGAACCTCTAGGAAGAACAGTTTAAAACTGATAGAGCTATCCAGTATAAATAAAGTTAGTTTAGTTTAGGTTTCCTCCTGTAGTAACACTGGAACAATAAGAGATGATCTTTACTGGACCTCTAGGGAGAACAGTTTAGAACTGATAGAGCTATCCAGTATAAATAAAGTTAGTTTAGTTTAGGTTTCCTCCTGTAGTAACACTGGAACAATAAGAGATGATCTTTACTGGACCTCTAGGGAGAACTGTTTAGAACTGATAGAGCTATCCAGTATAAATAAAGTTAGTTTAGTTTAGGTTTCCTCCAGTAGTAACACTGGATCAATATATGAGATGATCCTTACTGGATCTCTAGGGAGAACTGTTTAGAACTGACAGAGCTATCCAGCATAAACGAACATAAGTATTTCGATCAATGGAGGATAATCCTTACTGGCAAAAAACAGCAAAAAAAACGACCAACCTACCAGTACAGTTGACTCCTTTGAACCCACGCTGACAGCTACACTGAATCACTCCCTTCTTTTCATGACAGATACCAGAGTTTCGACATGGATTGGGATAACACTTGTCTCGCACTTGAAGAAACGAAATAATAAAGAAAATAATTGTTCACATAGAATACAATAGCAACAATGGTGTTATTTTATCAAGTTAATTGCTATACAAGGATGTCACTCACAACTTGTCAACGAGATGTGTTCGCAGCAGGCCTGTAGCAAGCCTGTCAACAAGTTGTAACAATGCTGTTATTTCATCAAGTTGCTACAAGGATGTCACTCACAACTTGTCAACGAGATATGTTCGCAACAAGCTTGTAGCAAGCTTGTCAACAAGTTGTAACAATGCTGTTATTTTATCAAGTTGCTACAAGGATGTCACTCACAACTTGTCAACGAGATGTGTTCGCAACAGGCCTGTAGCAAGCTTGTCAACAAGCTGTAACAATGCTGTTATTTTATCAAGTTGCTACAAGGTTGTCACTCACAACTTGTTGACAAATTTTTGAATTGCAATTGACGATAACAAGTTGTTGGAACAACGTGTACAGTAACAAATCTGTTGAGCTCAACAACCTTGCATGCAGTAAGTTGGCAACAAGCCGTTGAGAACTGGTCAACAAGCTGGGAACAAGCAGCGGAAACACATCCTGTTGACATGTTGTTGGAACACCATTGCTACAAGTCTGCTGCAGGTGTGTTACCACTTATGCGTTTTTACGTGACAGTATAAAGCAATCTATGACAAGATTATTTTAACAGAATCAGGCTTCTTCCCAGAAAAAAGGAAACAGTATTGAAATAAACCAGGATGGTTTAGTATGTCGTTTCATTGCACTACTTACAAAGGATACAGTATGTCGTTTCACTGCACTACTTACTTTCGCACTTTAAACCTTTGAAACCATTTCTACAGCGACATTCGTATCTCGTCTTGTGATCCACACAAGTCGCGTTGTTCAGACAGGGTTTCGAATAACAATGATCCGTGTCTTGACAATGAATTCCCTTAAAACCAGATTTGCACAAACAATGCGAGCCAAACATCGTGAACGCAAGAGTAGCACCATTGAGGCATGGATTTTCTGAAACAAAAGACAAAAGTGCATAAGGCGCTCCTTTGCGAAAACTACTGACTGGTACAGTGAAACGAGTATCATACCGTTATTCCAGTGTTACCACAGGATGAAACCTAAACTAAATTAACTTTATTTATACTGGATACCTCTATCAGTTCTAAACAGTTCTTCCTATTAAGGATTATCTCTTATATTGATCCAGTGTTACTACAGGAGGAAACCTAAACTATACTAACTTTATTTATACTGGATAGCTCTATCAGTTCTAAACTGTTCTTCCTAGAGGTCCAGTAAGGATCATCTCTTATTGATCCAGTGTTACTACAGGAGGAAATATTCACTAAACTAACTTTATTTATACTGGATAGCTCTATCACTTCTAAACTGTTCTTCCTAGAGGTCCAGTAAGGATCATCTCTTATTGATCCAGACTACAGGATGAAACCTAAACTAAGCTAACTTTATTTATACTGGATAGTTCTATCAGTTCTAAACTGTTCTTCCTAGAGGTCCAGTAAGGATCATCTCTTATTGATCCAGACTACAGGATAAAACCTAAACTAAACTAACTTTATTTATACTGGATAGCTCTATCAGTTCTAAACTGTTCTCCCTAGAGGTTCAGTAAGGATCATCTCTTATTGATCCAGTGTTACTACAGGCCCAGTAAGCCAAAAGAAAACATTCGGTGTTTGGCAAGGCCAGACTAGAAGCATTCTTCTTACAAATGACCGAGGTGATAATATAATCAAGCAACTGCATATTGCAGGAATCCAACACAATTAGGCACATGCACTTATAGCCGTGCTGCCAACCTTTGAAGCGAGGACCCAGCTTGGTTAAGAGGTTACTATAACATCAAAATGCTTTCTAATCTTTTCTAGGTATACTCCAGACGACACAAACTACGGCAGGTAGTACAGCAGATAAATCACAAACCTGTGTAAATATGAATATGGGCGGTCTCCTTTTCTTTCTTTGAGTCAAACTGCAAACTTTTTGTTGCGTTTCTTAAACCTTTATCTTTGCTTTCCTTCATATCATCTTTAATAATTGTATCATTGCGATAACTGTGTTTCGTATCAGTTAAATCAGTTCTTCTTGTAGAAAATACACTATTTGATAGCTCGGTAGTTGATTTATTATCGCCAGCAGCTGTCGACCCGTTATTAAAAGAGTTTCCAACATTTTTAATTCCAAAACTTGTGGTATTACCATTTTGGATGGGTGTCAAAGACGTTTGCGTGGACACGTTATGCGTAAACTGTAGTAGAAACAGAATGAATTGCGCGTTTATATATTTCACATAATTGGTTTTCGTTGTCATTTTAGGATAAAACTTTCATCACGCATGGCTGGGCAAGAAAGTTGTTTTGTTGTTGTTCAAAACTACAGGTCCTGTCAGGCTACGTTTCTACTATACTGGAGTCTTATTGAACCAAAACAAATTAATTTGCAGCTGAGAGCTAAGCTGAATTACAAAGGATGCAGCTCAACCTGATGAAGTCGAAGGCTTTCAAAAGCGCATTATGTTTTCCACTAGGCGAATTTGTTCGCGCGAACAGTAAAAAAGTAGGAACTGATCCAAATTTTTTGCGGTTAAATTTTTCGCTGACCAATCACATTGCCAATATTTGTTTTTCGCTTCGCGCGAACAAATTCTCCTAGTGGAAAATGGGCTTAAGGGCGCCTCTGTCAGCCACAGACTCGTGTCTGATCACGGAGCAAAGCTACGGTGGAAGGATCAGCTATAGGGGCTAATCCCAACTGGATTTTGACATTTCGAGCGAAGGTCGTTCTTCTGAAGATTACAGAGAGCTTCAGAATAGGAGGGTAACACGAAGACAATGTCAATGAAATTCAACGTATAGCACAAACAAAAGGAAAAATTCAATGTAGGAGTTTTAGATCCTTGTGTTGGCATGTCCCTTCCATATCTACAACAACGTTTCAATTCCTGCAATACACAATTAATTGTCTGTTTATATTCTAATAGTTTGATTCTACGAAACAGTACAGGCTTTCGCAGTGGGCTTTCAGTTGTACTAATACTCAACCAAAAGAGGATAGCTAGGATGGTCGTTACTGGATCGGACTTTCAGGAAGAACTGTATACTAGAACTGTTGAAACTACCCAGTATAAATAAAGTCAGTTTAGTTTAGGTTTCCTCCTCTAGTAACACTGGATCAATAAGAGATGACTCTTACTGGCCCTCTAGGAAGAACAGTTTAGAACCGATAGAGCTATCCAGCATATACTATAAATTAACTGTAAGTTAGTTTAGTTCAAGTTTCCTGTAGTAACACTGGGACAATAACGGATGACTCTTACTGGACCTCTAGGGAGAATAGTTCAGAACTGATAGAGTTATCCGGTATAAATAGATTAAGTTAGTTTAGTTTAGGTTTCCTCCTGTAACACTGAATCAATAGGAGATTACGCTTATTGAACCTCTAGGAAGAACAGTTTAGAACTGATAGATCGAGCTATCCAGTATAATTTATAAATAAACTTAGTTTAGTTCAGGCTTCCTCCTATAGTTGCATTATTTTATTTAAACTCTTTAAAAACTTTATTTACACTTTAAAATCGCAACTCGAGGGTTATAATCATTTGGTAATCTAGCTGTTGGTTTACATTTAACCGTGTTTAATTTTGGGTTATTTTAGATAGTTTGTAATGACATAGTGTGTAGGTGGTAATGGCTCTGGTGTCAGCTGATGTTTTGTTTGGGGGGGGGGGGTT